GGGGGGGGTGTACTTTGAATTACGTTCCATCAAAGACAAGTCATCAAAGCGGTTGTATTATCAGACCATGGCGCTAATTAAATCTCGAGGCCACAGTTCACATGGACTCTTCAAGGACGTAGTGAACATATAATAATGACGTCCTATCATCAGCAGACAAAAAGGAAATGTTGTGGCACATTTCAAACCATCACACACAAATCAGAAACACGAATTTGCATAGTTCATTGTATGAATGTTGTTGCCTGCCAATTTAAGTTTGATGTAAAGAAAACAGAACTAAAAAGTCAGAATGAATAATGAAGTTCTGCTCCTTTTTTTTTGGGGGGGAGGGTACCCTGAAACACCACATCTTCAAGCTAAAAACAAAAATTACGAAACACACATTAGTGATATCCATTATCGGCAGTAATCGGGTAGTGCTTTAGGTTTTGAGCAATCGAAACTAAATTGACGCTTCGAAGGGTGAAGTCACTCACTATTCGCGCTGCCGTTCAAATGCCTGTGTGAATGATTTATCCAATCGTATGTCGTCGGCTGGGAGTTCAGATGAACTACGACAAACTGTAACCCCCCCCCCCACAAGTCACACAGACAGACAGACAGACAGACAGACAGACAGACAGACAGACACACCCCCCCACACACACACACACAAAGTCAGAAGTGACATAATATATTACCAAAGTAGATCTCTTGAATCAAAACCCAAGGCCGACCAAACTAACTTCCGTCTTGGGCAAAGAGGTTATAAATCTTTGGTCTCAGGCAAAACCCAGTGTTGTGCAATAGCCAACCACACGATCAATGCCAGGGCAGACAACACGACAAAGCTTTTGAACAAAGAAGTTATGCATTTGAATGAAACGTCTCTGTTACTTTTACAAAGTACATGTATTCAAACTCGGTAATAGATATGCTTCTTAGATCTTTACAACAAAATTCTGACTCCTTCAATTACGATTAATGTTGCTCTTTTATTTCACTGCCACTCATGATGAAATGAATACAACTGTGTGTGTTTTTCTCCTCTTTTTAAATTTCTAATTTTTTTCTTCTAAGAGACTCGTCCCGTGTGGTTGAAACGTGACAATAACAGGACGGGATATGGTACCGGGGTCGTCTGTAAATCTCTGCTCCAGACCTGACATCTAAAGAAATAGAAAACTATCGAGAATAGCGATCAACATGGAAATAACAGGATCTGGACAATTATAAATATAAAGATGTATCTTATCTTATCTTATCTTATCTTATCTTATCTTATCTTATCTTATCTTATCTTATCTTATCTTATCTTATCTTATCTTATCTTATCTT